TTATATAGCCCAATTTACAGACCAAGGTCACCCAAAGCGCTTTGCAATGTTCAGAGTTTAGACATTGTTCCAACCATTCCACACACGGTGATGACGGAAGCGAGTCGCCGAACACACTGGCGCATCAGCCCCCAATCAACACCATCCATTCACTCTCTCATTTACATTCATACCTATTGTGCATGTTTTTAGTGGTAGGGGAAACCGGAGCACCCGGAGGAAACCGGAGCAGACACAGGGAGAACATGCAAACTCCACTCAGAAAGGCCCTGTTCCTATCCACTCAGCCACCGAGGCCTTTCATCTAAAGCAGTCAAAAGAAGACAAACAAAATAAGCCACTTACTTCCTACAGATTTCTGAAACGTTCATACAATCATTCATCTTCAACCCCTTAGTCCATTTCAGGGTCAGAGGGCGGTAATTAGAGCTGCCACCCAATGCTCAGAGCTCCAGCCTTGGGGAAAACAATCAAACATAATCATAACCAGCCTACACCATTGCACAGTTTTCCTTCCCTTTCACAGAGTTCCAGATGTTGTGTTCTTTGTGTAGTTGGAAGCGCACCTGTTCAGCCCTGGGTCTTCACAAAAACACGTATCTTTAAACATAAGGCTCCTGTTTGCTGCTTTACACTGGAGAGAGGCTGAGAGAGTGTTGGTCTGGGGAGTGTAGGGGGCGCAGGGTGCAACCGCTCTGGTGGTCCCATAATAGATGACACTTACAGCTGAATACAGTCGCTTTATGAAGCTGCAGACTGAAGAGACAAAGCTGGTTATTATGTTTAAATATCAAATCCAATCATGCAGCAATTGTTGAGAAAAGCACTTTTTAAGATTCAAATTATTGCCTTTGTCAAAGAGAGCAAAAAAAACAAAGGTACATTATGAAACTTGTTATGTTCAATTCAAATAAATGTATCCTTATAAGGCCCTAAATCATAAAAGGAGTTTTCTCGGAAGGACTTTATGAAGTTGTTGATTCTGCAACACACAGATTAGAGAAGTTTGAACTGTTGGATAATAACTAACATGGGATGACCAATGTCCATATTATTAGAGGTGCATAAATGTCCCTAGATTTGCTAGAGCATCATTTCTTAGACCATCCTGCATAGACAAGGAACAACAAAAAGGGGGAAAAAACCTAAAAAACAAAATAGGCCTTACCCTTCCCTTTATTGAGAGAGGCATCCTCCGTTTCACTCTGTTGCACACTAAATAAATATCCATGATACAAGTTGATATTTTTGTGTATTTGACCATGTTGTGACCCAGACGCTGTAAGAGCGGTCAGCATGGTGCCTTTACCTTTGATCAGGGTGATGTCTATCGTGTTGTTTTGTAGGTTTTTGTGCGGTAAAAGAATAAACCTCCCAAATAGCATCCTAGAGACCATTGTGAACGAAAAACAACTTCGATGCACATAAAAAGTTTCCACTCTAACTTGTAAGTGTATAGTTTATGAAAGTACATCTATGCGCCAATGAATGACTCAGACAACACATTTTGACAAACGAGCGACATTGCAACACAATAAAAAATATGGAAATACTGACTTAAAGTAAAGAATACTTACCAACTGAATAACTGAATAACTGAACTGAAGAATACTTACTTTATTGAAAGTAAACACTGGGAAAAGAGGTCCATTATTTATTTTTTCATGATATTTGACATGCTGGTGTAATCAATTTAAATTCATATAGTTGCATGGTAATATGGAATACATTGAAAACAAAACCCACAAAGGTCACACAATGGAGACGTAAATGCAAACATAAAGATAAAGAGAGGGCTTTGTCTTTGAAATACGTGCCAATAAAAAACTGCATAATAAATGTTTTAGCTGCGCACACGTAGAAGTGTTAAAGCCACATTTTAAAGGAGCTCAATCAATCTGGCGCAGCTCAAACACAAAACTAATGGTATCCTCAAGAGGCGGAATCAATAACATTTTGAACAAAGTCCCACAGTTTTCCTACGAGGAATCTCCTTGGAACAAGAAGAGGCCGAATCTGCCAGATGAAACATGTAAACAGCTGCAGTAAATTGGCTGTTATTCTCAGAGGCGTGGATGAAAGTAAACACTCCAGTGGGACTCCGCGAGATGATATCCAACTGTTAATGACACACAGCGTTATGGTGCTTTAAAGCTGCTAATAGGCTGCTGGCGTGTCGCAAACTCACTTTGTCACCTGCAGACAAGGAAAGAGCATATTTTCAACTTCAAAAACATCTCTATAGATATGACACTTGATACTGAAGGTCAACAGATACCAGTCATTAGTCTTCCCATAGCCGATATACAGTGGTAGGAAAAGTTATAGGCACCACTATCAATTGATGATGATTTTTCTTTAAAAGTCTTTAGTTGTTTGGGTAAGAAATGTCAGTTATCACATAGAAGACAAGTGATATAAAGTTTGCATCCTCTACAGAACGTGTGCAAGAAAATTAGGCATGTGCATAAATGTAGGCACCATAAACGAATACTTTGTGTATTCTTTTTTTGCAGAAATAGCAGCCTCTAAACACTTTCTATAACTTCTAATTAGAGTCTGGATTCTGGTGGAAGGTATTTTGGACCATTCGTCTTTGCAAATCATTTCTAGTTCACTCAGGTTTTAATGGGTTACAAACAGGGACAGCCTGTTTTGAATCACAAATGTTCAATAATATTTAGCTTTAGGGACTGAGCCCCTTCCAGAACGTTGTACTTGTTCCTCTACATGAATGCCTCAGTAGATAATGATTCAATTATTGAAAAATCCAGCCCTGGTGCAACTTCAACTTTGTCACTGATTCCTGGACATTGTTTTCCAGAATCTGCTGATGCTAAGTAGAATCCATGGAGCCTCAACAGGATTCCCAGTGCAGCAGGTAAGTGTTTGTGTTATTTTCCTCCATGCATAATTCCCCTTGTTTTGCCAAATAACTTCAGATTCATCACAGCACCCTTGTTCCAGAGTAAAGCTGGCTTGTCCTCCAAATGTGCTTTAGCATAAATCAAGCAACTGTTTGTGGGCTGTGCAGAGAAAAGGCTTTGTCCGCATTCCCGATCCCTACAGTATCTCCTTGGATAAAATGCTCTGAAAAGGCCAACGATGCACAGTGACACCATCTGCAGCTGATGTTCCAGGTGTTTGGAGCTGGTCTAAGGGTTGACTCTGACTGTTCTCACCATTCTGCAAGATTTTTTCTTGGTCAGCCACTCCATAAATTATATATATATATAAATACAACATTTTTACATACAAAGAGAACACATTCAAAGCCCAACTCTTGACTTTTTTTAAATGCCTAAAGCATCGTGGCACCACCTGCACGTGAAAGCCTGGCACCTGCACGTGATCCTGGCAGACCTCTGAAACTACGCAGAGCAGGACCTGGATAGAACTGTCGTGGGAGACCTCTGGGAAAACAAGGTGCCAGTGATTATTACCCTTGTGCATGGAGTGATAGAATAATGCCATGTGAAGTGTAATTGAGGTCAAATTTATAAAACCTGCATTGAGTTTTTTCCAGGTAAGGAATAGATGCTGAGCTGTATTTGAAATAATTTTATCAAAATGGCGTGTCCTGTTTATTTAAGTTAATTTTGACTGAAAATATGTTTTTATTTTTTTTGCCTGGGCATATATACAGTATACACACAGACTGAGCACATATACAGTATACACACCGACTGATTCTTGTTTGTTTTTAGTTGAGTTGTATCATTGTAGCTTCGATCAGTAGGCTGGACTCTGGAATACATTGTTTTTTTGTTTTTTAATAAACCAATACAGACGTACAAATATGTATCCGTTATTTGCTTGACCCATAAATTATGCCATATACAAACTTCTCTGCCTCAATTAATGGCTTTGTTTGGAATTTTCCACTCGTCCTCACTAAACTTATCTCTTTACATTAGATAAGCAAAAGAAACGTGAGTTCACTGTAAGATGTTAGGTTTTTGAGCATTATGAATTGCTGTGATTAAAAACTGTACGTTGTGAATTCCAAGCAATGCCATCACACATTCATGGCAACGAGGAGGTAAGCACATTTAAAACTGAACAAACACATCAGGGTATACAAGAGTTATATCTTTATTGAGCATTTGTGAATCCACTTGAAACAACAGACGATCAAAGCAAAAAGACAAAGTATCATAAAGCGCTACATGTACCAAACAATACAATTAAAGAAGTATAAAACTGCGGCTAGATTGTTTTTGGATGAACGAATTATGGCATTACAAAGGAAATGAGTATCTGCGACTGTCAGGGAACATAGCTACATTTTGGTGAAAGTATTATGGAGAAAGAAGCATTCAGAAATCCATCTCTCTGAGTATCACATGTACTTGTTTGAACCACTTCATTCGCACTTGAGGGAACATTAGAATTAGATTTGCATAATGTTTTTGGCAAGAGGAAAGAAGAGATGCATTGGTTTAAGTTATTAACCTTCACAGTTGCGCTGAATAAATAAATTCCTGCTCACAGACACGTAACGTGTTAAAGCAGACGGCAAATACAACATTTACATCGGTTGAAGAATGTGCCCTGGTTCTATAGTGTTTCTCTACATCAGCAACAAGTGCAACACCGATACATCCATGCTAACTACGAGCTTTGGATTGAAAAGAGCACCATGTTTTAAAGTTGACTACAGTGAACAGTCTTTGTGGAAGCATCAAAATCCATGCTCAAAGCTAAATCACGGGTTAGATAATATATATATTCATTAATACTGTGATTCCGTGCCAGCTTTGTCTTAAATGATTGTAAAATGCACACGGCGTGAACAGGTTTGAAGTGTGCTGCTCCTCAGTGACCGTGAACACAAGGCAAAGTCATTTCAACTTAATGTTCTAAAAAGCGTGATTACTTTAACATTAAAAAAAAAACTATAGAGCATTTCAAGCCGTGGACCGCTATCCTTGCAGAGACAGTCAGGCGCTTGCATTCACGTACAGCAAATGAAAGGTAAGAACTTTTGTGTGAACTGTTCACCCGAGGCTGGTGATGTTGGAGCGGCCACCAGGGGGAGCAACAATGCGGTGACCAGACCTTCTTGGGACGTTGTCGTCAGCCTGAGACCCTGAGAAAAAAATATAACATTTGAAAAAAGTTTCATTTTATTGTATAATTGTTCTTTTGTAGTTTGAGTTTGCTTCCTGTCTGTCCTGTTGATTGTTTGCCCCACCCTAATGTGATACCCCTGTATCTCCCTGTGGATTTATACCACATTGTGCCACATTGACGTGCGGTGACATGCTTGCAATACCACCCCGGGCCGATGGCGGTGGACCCAGAATGAGAATTATTCAATGCTAATGTACGTATCTTCTGACCTCTCTCGTCAATGCTGAGCAGAGTGAATTTTTTTGGACCGCTCTATTTTAGTTGCTGTGAAATTTTGAAAGCACTCGTTAAATGAATGGGGGTCGTGCCGGCTGACTCATGCGCAGATGCGTTTCTTCACATTTTCCAGCCCCCGCGGCCATTTTGAAACGCTCCATGAAAGCCCAATTTTTGGCCCATTTCTTTGAACGGCGGAGATAGGCGTGACTACGTGCATGATTTATACCCTGTGCTATTGTCTATACCACATTTGTTCCTGGCTTGATTTTTGTATTTTGGCGTTACCTTGGATTTGTTACCCCGGTTTATACAGTATGTGGAAGCAAATACTGTAGAGGATCAGGATGTATGTAGTTTCAACAATAAAATAAAGTACAATAGTCTACATTAAACAGAGTAATAAACATGTCTCAGAGTGAGGGAGGTGACACAGACAACACTGTTGTTTGTTACAGGGATGAGAATTGGTAAACATTTCTGAAATGCATATTGTCAGCCATTAGCTGGCTCTAAATCTGTTTAATCTGTTCACAAAATTTTACTTTTGGGCTCAAACATGAACTTTTAATGCAATGGAAAATTTAGGTACCCGAGCTTTAATTTAGAGGAGAGGGGAGACGCGGACTGTTTTCTGCAGCGGTGTATTTATTGGGTGCACTGCACAAATTACGCAAAGACATGCATGGTCCTGTGCACGTTTATGGTCTTGGGTACATGGTCACGTTGCGGCTACGCGCTCACCGTGTTGTGTTGTGAGCGGTTCCTGCGTCCAGCTCAGAGCCGCTGGATGCTGGAACACTGCGGCCGCTGAGGTGGTGGAATCCCGTTCGAGTACATACAGCAGGAGCCCCGCGGACACGCGCGCTCCCCTCAAACATTTCTCAACGGATTTACACTTTTCACAAACATGTGTTTTGTATGAGGGAGACAGACCGGCCCAAATATGGGCATCGGCCCTTCGGGCATTGCCCGGTACGCCCGATGGCCAGTCCAGCCCTGGTTGGATTGTTCACCCACTAATAGGGAACGTGAGCTGGGTTTACAGAGTCGTGAGACAGTTAGTTCACTCACTGAAAGTCACGCTTCACATTCTACTATGACTGGACAAAGCAAGTGCTGCTGTCACGATCGCGCAAAGTACTGGTGCTCATTCTGGCGCAGCTCCGTGAGCAGATGGAGGCGCTCCTGTCTCTGGAGGATCTCAGCACCCAGATATGGCATTGAGCTACATTTGTTATTGAAGAACCTTATGTAAGTACAAGAAAATCTGCTAGCTGAAACTGATCTGAAATCAAAGCCCGCCCACCATGTGCTTGTCCATGTGCACTTCCCTATTCTTCATGGGGCTTGGGGGTTAGCATTGTCCATCTATATGCAGTCTATAGTTTTACCCTGTACTGGTGATGTGTTGCTGCAAGAGTAATCCATACTTCATGGATTTTAATGTGCAGCACTTTGTATTAGTTTGGTTAAGTACATTGGATTTGATTTGATTGCCATGTCTGTTTATGTAACACTGATTCTCTGTGATTTAAGTGAATATTGAAAGAGCAGGTATGCGCCCGAGCCATCTTCGCTCTGGAGGTAACTGAGTGGAAGCGAAGACAGTGGAGGAACTAAATAATAGTAGAGTTGTATAAAGAGAAGGGATTTCCTAGAAAAATCACCCTAAATTAATTTGAAAATGTACTAGTTTTCTGGAAATATGTAGAAATCTGTTGTGTGAGTGACCGTGTTTTGGCTGAGAAGGCACATGGTGCAGATTGTAAAATTTAGAAAAAATGTATACAGCCAGGTCTGTATATAATGAGTTATTGACACAATTCTCATGTGTTTTACTGCATACACTCTGGATTATACATGAAGAGAACAGGATGTGCCTTAACAGCAGTGTCAGATTATATTCTGTTTTTAGATAGATACATCCATCTAGGTCTATAGATTGTAAGCGTTGCCAAACTTTCGGATAGATTCTGAATTTCCGTAGGTTTTAACATTTGAAAGTACTAAAATACTCAGGGTAGTGGTGGGTCATACCTGATAGGCTGAAGTTGGACTGGTGCAGGTTGCGTACGGGCGCAGGTTGGTTGGTCGTTGGTGAGGTTTTGGCAGAAGGAGCTGGAGTTATGTATGTGGACATGGGTGGCCCTTCATAAACAGGACCATCGTACATCCCACGAGCAACGCCCTGTTTGTTATTCACCTGCACATTATGTAACATTCAACAAATCAATGTATGATTATTGTGGTAGAAACAGTGTCCTTGAAACTTCCTAATGCTGTCATTCTACCTGGTTCCTGAATTTGATGCGCTGGTAGGCCAGATCAGGGAAAGGCTTGCGTGGAATAAACCGGCCGGTGCCCTGCTGAGTCTGTAGTTTTCCGTCCTCATACACCACTCGACCTTGACATAAGACCAGTGCGGCCCCCCCGCTACACTGCAGACCCTCAAAGATGTTGTGCTCAGAGGCCTGGTAGAGTGGATAAGCAACACAGACAGAAATGTTTAACAGGAATTATAAAGAACAAAGAAGAAGGGCTTTATCATCCCCCAACACCATTCACAGCGCTGATAGGATGGACTGTCTGGGATCCCTGCATCAAACAAGGAACAGAGGCAGCAGTTAAGAAAATGAGGGTGAAGAAAAGGGGGGAGAACAGTGATAGTGATTTTGGGGGATGGGGCTAAGTAGATGGGGGTAGGGGTATAATCCCTTAATGCCACATTAGTTTGGGTTCTGGCGCTGAATTATGCCCAACTTCTTGCATTGAATTTTGATTTTAGATAAATATTAAAAAGTAAAGTTTATACTTAATATTCATCATCAATCTGAGTTGTCTACCGGCATTGTATGGTTTAATTGTAACAGTTTCAAATGACTCACCGACTGGTGGTCTTTGGCAGTGATTGTCTTGACGAGGTCAGGGTCCCAGATGACAATATCAGCATCAGCGCCCGCGGTGATCCGACCTTTTCGCGGGTATAGGTTGAACAGTTTGGCAGCGTTAGTGGATGTGACGGCCACAAATTGGTTTTCATCCATTTTTCCGGATGCCTGAAAAAAAAACATTAGCTTAAAGATTAGAGCAAAGTAACAAAGATAAGTGCAAAAATGTTTTTATTTACACTAAATCCAGAAACTCACCACTGCCTTGTCCCACACAAAACCCATCCTCTCCTCCACACCATTGGTTCCTTCTGGGATCAGGGTGAAGTTGTCTTTCCCAACAGCCTTTTGGTTCAAGCTGTATGCACAGTGTGCACTGCCCACGACTTGTAAGTCCCCACTGTGAGAAACAAAAGATTAATTCATTTTAACTCATGTTGATTGGAATGTTACTAATGATAGACTTGAACTCAGTCCTGGATCTACAGCCTCAGTCCTGGATCTACAGCCTCAGTCCTGGATCTACAGCCTCAGTCCTGGATCTACAACCTCAGTCCTGCATCAACAGCCTCAGTCCTAGATCTACAGTCTCAGTCCTGGATCTACAGCCTCAGTCCTGGATCTAGAGCCTCAGTCCTGGATCTAGAGCCTCAGTCCTGGGTCTACAGCCTCAGTCCTGGATCTACAGCCTCAGTCCTAGATCTACAGCCTCAGTCCTGCATCAACAGCCTCAGTCCTAGATCTACAGTCTCAGTCCTGGATCTACAGCCTCAGTCCTGGATCTAGAGCCTCAGTCCTGGATCTAGAGCCTCAGTCCTGGATCTACAGCCTCAGTCCTGGATCTAGAGCCTCAGTCCTGGATCTAGAGCCTCAGTCCTGGATCTAGAGCCTCAGTCCTGGGTCTACAGCCTCAGTCCTGGATCTACAGCCTCAGTCCTGCATCAACAGCCTCAGTCCTAGATCTACAGCCTCAGTCCTGGATTTAGAGCCTCAGTCCTGGATCTAGAGCCTCAGTCCTGGATCTACAGCCTCAGTCCTGGATCTAGAGCCTCAGTCCTGGATCTAGAGCCTCAGTCCTGGATCTACAGCCTCAGTCCTGGATCTACAGGCTGTCCATCTATGGTCTACAATAGTAATCCCAGAGCTTTCTTTGATGCAGGAATGTCAATGAACAGGGGTTGATCTGGGACATTATGGACATCCGTTAAACTGTTTTCCTGTAGACCAATGACTCAAAAGCTGGCTACAGACAGCAGGAGTTTTTGGTCTACTGAGATTTTAATCATGACATCGATCACAGACATAAATATACTGTATATCAGGACTTGAATGTATAGTTTCATATATTGCATTATATCAGCTCCAGTAGTATATTACGACTCAGTAGTAGCCAATACACAAAATAGAATGGGTTGGACTCAGGCTCTAGGGCAAAAGAACCTGACTGGGTATGGTTGTCGGGTATGTTGTTTTAGCCATTGGGCATCCCTCTAGTGCCTTTTAATTAAAAGTGCAAGTTTTGTAGTGGCCTTGGGCAAACAAACCAGCTACTGAGGCAAAATGGTGCAAGACCAATGCAGTACAGACTTTGAAGCCATAAGTAAATCCCAAAATATTTAGAGTTAGTAATGCCTTTAGTTAAGTAATGTGTTATTTCACATTTGTGTTATACATTATCCGGTTCTCATGTTTTAAAGATGTACCTAAAAACCATTTCTTTCATGCAGATTCATAAAGACTGCATTGTCACTCTGGGTGACAGGAGAGGCAGAAGCTTCAGGCAGGAGCGATGGAGACGACATAGGAGTACAAGAGAGAAAAAAAATTGTATCCAAGGCAACAGATGATGAAGGATTGTAGTTTTGGGGCTATTTATAGAATTGAGGACAGTCAAAAAGTTAGAGTTACTGTGAAGTGCATAAGTCTGCAGGTTTGTCTACTTCACCTGCTTAGTTTAAGGCGTTATTAAAGCTACTTTACACTTCAGTACGTACGCGTTCACGCACATTCCTTGTGCCCTCCCTAGTCTCTATCTACAAAAGAAATATTATACTGTCAATTACTCTGTCAGGGGAAGACACTTTATGTGCCCACTGCCTCCCAGCACTACCGAAAACCTAATAAAATAAATTTTTCCACCAAAAAAAAGAATCCAACACCACAACAGAGAAGAACCAGGCTCCATTGGGAACAGGGATACCTAGTATATACAGCGTTTATTTTTCGAGCTGAATTTTGATTATTTTTTCTATTTAGACCCTTTCAGACCCTATTGCACGGAATTCTAAATTTTGACCCAAAATGTATGCAGCTCTTTTCACGCTATGTAAATCCATACAAATACATAGAGGTATGCAACAGCCAGTGACTGTGCATGTGCATTAGGTGATAGGAAATACCATGCCAGCAGTGTGCTCAGATGATCAGGAGTGGTCGGGTCTGGGCTCAGAGGGGGAGAAGTTACAAAAGCTGCAGCCTTTGCCCAGTTCTTGCTCCAGTAGTGAGATCCGTCAGTGGCAAGACTAGCGGTGATTTGCTCCCCAAACACCACAGAACCTAGAGAGAGAAGTGGACATTAAGCGATTGATAGATACTGTTTTTATCCGAGCTTACATATTATCCCAAACCTTTCCTCCTGGCTTGTGTGATGGTGTCTGCTGCACTCTTGCTCATTACTTTTGTGATGTAGACTGGGCAGTTCACGCGGTTACCCAGAGTGATGGCACGAAACACGGCTTCAGCCTCCACCTTCGCACAATTACCAACGTCTGTTAGAAAGCGTTTATTCTATCTCACATGCAATCATTTTATTTTCTACCAACATCACCTCTTCAGGCCGACTCAAAGGGTGCCCTTCAGGACCAGTGATTCCCATGCCAAGGATTTTACTCTGTTCCTGTAATGAAAGAAAGCAATCAAAATGTAAATACAATTTGCTTTCCTCTAATAATTTAGGTTTATGAGAGTTGCTTCCATCACATTTTAGCTGTATCTATGGCATATACTTTACAAACTCCTCAAAGTTTAGTCATATAAGGCATTTAGTTCAAGTATTATCTCACGTACAAGTGATAAACGTCCCTTAACCTTTCAGAAAACCTTCTGTATAAATAAACCAGGAAAATATTGCTTTCCACTCACAACTTAACACCTGCTTTGATAAGTGAGGCCTATAGTTAGTTAGTCATACAACAATCCCATCACATACTGGAAAAAAGTTCTGCAGTTCACTCTTTGATCAGTTTTACCAAATTGCCAAATGCAAATAGACGTCTCTTTTGCAATCAGTTTTAATAATTGTGAACCTAAGCGGACTACTTTGGCATTCCTCTTGCATTGTTTGTCCTCGGCCTCGGAAGTCAAAAGGTTCTCCGTCGTGCTCCTGCATCTCCGAACGAGCGAGTAAGCAGCACGTCGTTGTAATTCACTTGATCTCATTAGAACCATTTATCTGCGCATAGATCATCGTCTTCAGTGCGATTGTCACCTTAATCAGGATCATTATTTCCCGGTCGGCGCGCCACCCTCCATCACTGCTGTCAGATTGGCTCGCACCTTCACCTTTAGCACCGAGCTCGCCCATACTTCATCATCAGCATTAGCCTAATAACTGTGCCCTCAGATAAACCTGTCATCTTCAGCAGCTGCAGCGCCATTTGTTCTCCCCAGTGTCTGGAGCGTTAAGAATACAAATGACCACAAAACTTCCAAGCGATCGTTTTTGCCGCTTTTATGGTCTTCTTGACTAATTGAACCATGCAGAGGAAAGTTGAACCACATAAGTCTTGCGCTCGAGACAGAAAATGTATTGGCAGCTCAGCACAGAGCCGACATTGTATACGGGTACTTTTGATGCCGTTCACTCGCCTCAGTCCCTCCAATTGGTTTGAACTTTAAATGATCCAAACTCTAACATGTGACGCCGTCCTGTTCTGTCTCATTTATTCTCTGGCTTATGCTCAATGGCTCTGATCTTTATACTGCCTTAAATTGGTCAGAAACTGAATTTTCTCATTGTAAAGCATTTACAGCAGTCCATCCTAGCGAAATCCTCCATTTCTTCCGTATGCTATTTATTCACAATTATAAAAATACTGTTTTCTGAGACAAGTGTAGGACGTATAGCACTGTTTCTCTGGATATTTTTGCACGAAGAAATTTTGAATGGGTTTTCATTTCCATGGAGAGGAAAATTCCATGTCACACTGAGGAACATTTAAGATGAAGCAATGCCATCATGGAGCCAACCGGAGATTTGTAATTTTCAAACCACATCCATAGTTCCTAGCACTCAAGGCAATTTGGTTCTTTCATTTTTCACATGTATGTTTTTGGCCTCTGTCATCAATCAGCCCAAAGTGTCAAATAGTTGTTCAGAAGGCTCTTCCTTAGAAATTATGGCCTTTTTTTGGATGCTCCACACGCCACAGCTGCCCTGGGACTGGCTGGCAGAAGCAAAGCAGCCAGTATGTGCCACACACACACACACCAGTGTCTAGCCTAAGGATATAACAACAGAGCTACCCCACTCTGGCACTAGCTGAGAGGTCTCCCATTACAGTTCTAACCAGGCCCTACCCTGCTTAGCTTCTGAGCTTTGAGAGGATCAGGCTTATTCAATGGTAAGTATGCTAAACATAACAGTATTTTAATTAGTTAAAGACAGCATGTTGTGGTCTGATTTCTTCATAAGATTGTCATAGTGTGGACTTTTTTACCTGCTTTGATTTTGTGGTTTTGTTTTAGATTTACTTCCTGTCCTGTTCCCCTATTTGATTATATGACCCGCCCTACTGTGTTTCACCTGTGTCTCTCTGTTAAAGGAGCAATATGTAATATTTGCATGTCAAGTCATCATTAAATGACCCGAATATTTCAAAAGGCATTAATAAATCATGTTCTTTTCAAACACATCTTTAACTGATAACAGTAGTTCATCCGAGATATTTGAATATCAACATTAGTTTTACGACCCGTAAAAGTTGTTATTGTTTTGATTTTGATGTCCTACCCTCCGCCGTTTCGCCAATCAGGAAGTGTCATGTAAGTCCGTGATCGGGTTGCCAGAACTCCGCGCGGCTCATTAATCTCAGTGGTAAAATAACATGTGGCGCAGAACTAAAAAAGGTCTTGTTATGACTCTCAAATCATTAATGACAAAACAAAGACTAAAACGAGGATTTATATCGGGATGCCTTTGAACAATTGAGACAGCTGATAAAAGTTTACGTGTGATGCAGAATTTGCTAGTTTGACTCCGTTCTTCACAGTGACTCTAACTGTGTCAATCGGTGGTCTAGTGGTCAAAACTGTGCGCTTACGATGCAGGAACCCGGGTTCGATCCCGGGCTATATCTTTTTGTATTTATTGCATGTTATCACATTCTATGACAGATTGCTCTAAAAACGGTAAAAGACGAAGGTCAAGACGTTTTTTTGCAGATTATAGCTTAATTGTAAAAATAATCATTTAAGACCACATGTACCCTAATTAAAATAATGTTAGTCTCTTTTTGATGTGGGACTTTTACATGTTTGTCTAAAAAATAGGGAATAAATAGAATTGAAAGGTGATATCCTCTTGAGCAAACCCTGATGTTGATACGCCGAAGAAATACGTTCCAACATCCATTCTTCCCACTCCTATTTTGGACATCAATTGCTTATGTATTTTGCATAAACTATGTATAATTACATTGCTTTTATTTTGTTTTTGTTTTTTATCTCAAATGTCCAAATAATAATAATAAAAAAACATGGATCAAAACATTCATTCAGCATTAGCACGCCTGTCATGGCAATGTGAATGGAGACGGACAAACAACTGATAAAATAATTCCCTGTGTTTGCTGCTGGATTTGGTGTGAATCTGGCAACCTGAGTCAGGGAGAGTGGGAGAGGACTACAAAATATTGACTGTGACTGCAGTACCACTTTTGGCCAGATTTTTACATATTGTTCCTTTAAATATGCCTTGTGCTTCTCCCCATTTGTTGCTGGTCCATTGTCTATGTCTTCGTCACGATCCCTGAGTTTCAGATTGGAGACCTGCATTTTGAGTCCGATCATTGTATAGATTTTACTTTTACAAAAATTATTTCTGTTACGACATATGTGTGAAAAATTCTGCTGAAGTTAGGTACCCCAGCTTTAAAAACATAACCATTTCTGAGTTAATTACAATTGTGTGAAAGACACCATTTATCTGACATTACCTGTGCAATCAGATCTCCATTTTCAGCATGCACGAGAACAACAGCACCCAATGTCTTCAGAAACGAAAAGGCTTGATACAACTGTAATGCAAAACCATACTTTAGAATCAAGAATGACCCAAATCTCATATACAATACAAGTACAATTCAAAAACTATACCTCAGAGTCTGTCATCTGGAACACATCCTTATAGGCCATGTACACCTGGAAAGAATTGACACCTAAAACAGACACAAGACCGAAAAAAATATTGCAAATGATTCCAAAACTTCACATAAGACAATCAGCACGCCATTTTGAAACATTGTAACTGACTTCCCCAGGACAAAACCAAAAACTTTACTGCATGTGAATAATGTACACTGAATGGCATCCAGCACAAATACTGTAGGGAAGAAAACTGCAGTTCTGTTGTTTCAAAGTTGGCTCCGGAGTGAAGTGATTTCTGACTTAGAAAAGATTACAACCCTATTTTACAGCCAGCCACCACAACAGCAGAGTTACGAAAACAAAAGGACGCTTCTCGGCTTTCGCTGTAAGAGGATTCAGAACGTTTTCTTGCCAAATGGTGTCTAAATCTGTTTCAAACGCTCCATAGCGGTGATTCAAAACACGGGTTAAGACATGTAGACAGATTTTTAGCTTGAGAAGAATTGGATGGATGAAGAATGGGATACCTTTGTCTTGCACCAGAAGCTCCAGTTCATCCTTGATTGTTTCGTCCCAGCGCGGGATGTCGACGTGCAGAGAGTAATCGCAGCACGCCTTCTTATCGGCCGCTTCCTGCCAGCGCTCGAAGGCCCCCAGTAAACTCTCGTCCGGCTGAGGACTCACGTGGTCAACTGCAAAGTGGAGCGCAACCCGTCAAAGGTTGCAACGTAATACAGACACACACATGCAGACCGATGTACTCACTATCCTAGACACATATTAAGGCCAGAGAACCAAACTTTGAAACAAAAATACTGAAAATAATTGTGTAATGTAAAATCCATGTCACTAGATCCTCGCTCTCAAAACAGTTTGGTTCTGTCCCTAGTTTTCATATACCCTAGTTTTGGGCTCTGTCACATATTTAGAACAGCTATTTCCGACAGAAAAGTTCAAAGAAAGGACTCAGCCAATCAGCTCTCGATATGTAAAAAGTATCATGTTTTCAAGGTTCAACTATTTCTTAGATGTTTTCCAACTTACTACTAAATATCAAATAGGGAGATCTTTTCACATTTTCTGGTACAAAATTATTATTTGTAATCAATTGAAGGGGGGTTAAAATAAAACTTTAATTTCAAATAAATGTTTAACACTAATTGACAATTTTGCAAAATATTTTCATTCCAAAAGTGACGTCTCATCTTAAAGAAGTGTTAACAAAAAGGTATTTTTTTTTAAGTGAATCTTTCAATTTTATGAGAAACATTTTGGTTCAAATTATCTATACTTATATATATTATAGGGCGACAGTAGCTCAGTTGGTAGAGCATTGGCCTTTGAGCCTGAGGGTCGGGGGTTGAGCCCGACTTTCACCATCGACTCTCACTGTCTGCTGTCGTTGTGTCCTTGGCAAGACACTTAACCTCTGGGAACAGCAGCCACAGTGGGGCAGCTGTAAAGTGCCAAACTGCCGTTGTGTCCTTAGGCAAGACACTTCACCCCCCGGTCGGAGGGGCCGATGGCGCATACTGGTTGCCTCGCTTCTGTCAGTGTGCCTCGGGGCAGCTGTGGCTACAGTAGTAGTTTATCACCACCGTGTTTGGAGTGAATGAATAATGACATGTAAAGCGTCTTTGAGTGTCCAAAAAGCGCTATATAAAACTGATGCATTATTATACTACATTGAATATATAATTCTATTTATAGTTTGGTTCAAATTCAACTCTTTTGAAGTTGTTTGTTTTTACTTTATAGACATACAGGATATCATAAATTGCATTGCCATGTGGGTCCCAAATATTGCAATTAGATATTCTGTCAACTTGTGCAACCCTAATCTTTGTATAAATAATGAACTAGTAGTATAAAGTATCCATGCCAACGCACACTGGACAATCACTGCGAGGCTGATGAACGATGATGGAATGATGATTTTCCATATCAGTTTCATCTTTGGTACCTGTGTACACTTTCTGGAAAACATCCTGAATAAACCCTGTGCAACCATGTCTTCATCAGAGACTGGAGATTTTGTTTTCTTAAAATCCACCCTCTCCCTGTTTAACAAGGTTAAAAGTAGAAACAGCATAACACTATGAGATTAAAGTTTAATCCAAAATGACCAGACTTACTAATCATTGTGGTGCCACCACTGAGTGCCGCCTTGGTGCCCTGCAGAAAGTCATCCACAGGATATGTGTCGAGAAAGGGCTTCATGAAGCAGGTGTTGACATCAATTCCCCCGGGTATGACCATGCGGCCGTTGGCCTCGATCACCTTCACATCCTCAGGTACAGTCAGATTCTCTCCTACCTCTCTGGAACATATATACAAACATTGCAGTGTAGGCCTATATGCAATGATCAAACAGATTTTTTCAAATACACACTTGATGAGGCCATTTTCGATGTAGACATCTGCAAACGTGGACTGGTCATCATTCACCACTCGTCCACCTTTGATCAGCAGATGTTCACCCTGCAGTTTAAGAGAATAGAACTTAGATACACCATGTACATGTACAGCTCAAACCTGTAGATTCAGATTCAGGTTCATTTTATTAGCCATGTGCAGTATAAAAACTACATTGGAATACATTTGCAAAAAAAAAAAAAGGTACTCTGTGTGCACCGACAGAATAAAAAGCAGAATACAATATAATATAAAATACACATACACTGAATATAAAAGAATAAAAAAACAGCTGACACTGTGGCACCGATCAACAAAACGATACAAGGGGTAAAAGCAGGAATTAAAGTGCTCTGTTTAGGCACCTAACAGCCTGTGGAAAGAAGCTGTTAGCATAGCGAGATGTCTTGCATCTCAGCGACCGATATCTTCTGCCAGAGGGAAGAAGCTGGAACATGGCTTTCCCAGGGTGGCCAGAAGAGTCATTGATGATTTTAAGAGCTTTGTTTAAAAGTCTGGATTTATAAAGAACCTCCAGAACAGGAAGCTCACAGCCCACGGTCCTCTTTGCAGAGCGGAGCACCTTGTTTAAAGATCTCTTTTCTTTATCTGTGATGTTTCCAAACCACACAGACACAGAACCAACAAGTAAACTCTCAATGGTGCAGCGATAAAAGTTAAGCACAATCTTAGAGTTAGTGGTAAATTCTCTAAGTTTCCGCAAAAAGAAGAGCCGCTGACGTGCTTTCTTTTCAACCCGGTTAGTATTTTTGTCCCATTTCAGGTCGTTAGACAGAGTTAAACCCAGGAACTTGCACTCCTCTACAATCTGCACCTGGGAGTTGTCAATAACTACAGGAGTGTGAGAACTGACACAGAGACAAGTTCACATGTTTTTGCAGTGTTCAGCTGGAGATTGTCTACTTTACTCCACTGAAAAACATGTTCGATCTCTGCTCTATAAGAGGAATCATCATTGTCACTGATGAGACCGATGATGGTGGTGTCATCAGCATATTTGATGATCAAGTTTGAGTCAGAGGAGGACACATAATCGTGAGTGTACAAAATAAAAAGTAAAGGACTCAAAATACATCCCTGAGGAGAATCAGTGCTCACAGAAACAACATCAGAAAAACAGTCATTGATTTTCACTCTCTGAGATCTGTCAGTTAAAAAGCTAAAAATCCATTTACACATGGCAACATTCAGACCAAGGGACATTAGTTTTTCAACCAATATGCTTGGGACAAGACAATTAAAAGCAGAGCTATAATCAATGAACAGCATTCTCGCGACAGATTTACTAGTGTCCAAGTGAGTGTAGACAGAGTTCAGAGCAAAGGAGATGGCATCCTCCACACTCCTGTTCTGTCTGTAAGCAAACTGGAGCGGGTCAACACTCACAGGGATCTGGCTCTTAATGAAGTCCAGCACTCTCAAAAGTCTTCATAAGAACAGACGTGAGGGCCACAGGGCGGTAGTCATTGAGACATGTCACTGGAGACTGGAGACTTGTTATCTTGGAGAAATAGGACAATGCATTGGGAATCAATTATTTCATACAGACTCCCAATCAGCTCCAGTATATGGCCTATCGTTTTTTTTGTTTATTTCCAGCCTTCAATTGCATCTTATTGATACAGACGCGCCGGAGATGAGCGGCCTCTTTTATGTCCCTCGCTCAGGCAATAGAAGCAGCCTTATGCTCTTTGCCTCCACTCTTCACGCTAAGAATTTAATCCCTTGTGTCGGGATTTGTGGGCTGACGGCTAGCCAGGCTAACCAGCCTCTTACCGCCCTCTTGCAGTCAGATGGGGGTGTCCCTGTGACGTCATCACTAACATTCCGCCGGTTTGTTGGGATCGAGCCTCTGACATGCGCTCACTGTCGCCCTGTGTTCTCATGAACCCTTTGTCTCCAAATGCTGCTGACGGGATTGGGGCACTAACATGGGCCAAGTGGCGCTTTCTGTGTAAGAGAGCGTGTGCATTGTAGTATACGGCCCGAAGCGCACAGGTGCAGCTCTATGCAGTGTCTGTGCTGAGCGGAGGGGAGAGCCCCACACCGCTCAAATACATTATATCAACATTAACGCGGACGCTATTTCAGCACCCGCTCAAACTGGACAGCTCCAAATGTACGACGCATACACGTTTAACAAAGGAATCCTCTAATAGCCATCACAAATGTGGCAATACAACGGATTCCTAAGCCTGATAACATATCTTCATTTGCACTTTTGAGAAAGCCCAAGCCTGTGTTTACGTGGGCCTACCCCTACGTGCGTCTATTGGCGACATCACGGAGAATGCTCCTGTCCATACCTCTCCAAGTAAAGTGTTGTTTTCTGATGAAGCTTTGTCTGCGATGACCCGGTCCTCTCCTTCGGTCTCCGCAGGTGTCCTGCCCGGTGAGGGCTCATGGGCGTTAGCGGGGGTCTTTTCGTTGGATTCCCCGGTGTCTAGAAGCCTCTCCTGGCTGCTGCTTCTCGGAGTGCGGTTTCCTTTTCTCCCAACCGCAAAGTCGTCAAAGTCTATGTTCTTGGTGCCAAACGCGCCGTCAGAGCTGAACACGCAGCTTTTCCTCTGCCTGGGCCCGGTGCTGATGGGACCCGCCAGGTACACGGGCAGCTCATCCTCGCGGTTCCACTCTCTCCTGCAGTCGGACATAGCTCCAGTCGACGCTGCTCTGCCAAACTGAGACGATGTGAATCGTTGGATGTCTTCTAGAGGCGGCCGTAGCAGCTATGGTGCTCGGGCTGTGTGAGTAGGAGCGGCTGCTCTACAGACTGGCCCTGCACGTTAATGCTGCCAGTGCAGCTTTAAAGGAGGCGTTGCCTCAAATGTGACACAAATCACAATGCAACTCACAAAAACACAAATCTGCATCTGTGTAGACTGTGTGGGCTCAGAGGGTCAGACCATCAGAGGATTAGATTAAACCCGCACTTTCTAACCCACTTCTGGATCTCAGAGCTCCCAGGGCCACTGCCGAAACACCACAAAGTGGTGAGTCTGTGTCTTGATAATGAATACCTGTTTATAAACACGGCACACGATTTGGAATCATTTTGAAAAGTTCTGTTTCAGCACCTGCGCAGGTGGACAGCTCCTAGAAAGCTAACCATGATGTATAAATTGACAACCAACAATTGATAATGATGATCATATCATCATATGATATTAGTGTTTATTTGCACGTTTTCTGTTTGCTTGTTTACTTGTTTGTTTCTGGAGGGGGTAAATAATAAACTAAAAATAGGCCTACGTAGAAAAATAGGCCAATTTTGAAATTTATATTTAGCATTTATTTAATTCGCATAACAATTTAAAAGCAATAAATATAGTTTGTAAGTCACCCAGATTCGTTGTGAGGGAGTCACAATTCACATGGTCTATAATTGATTATTGGAGGGTTTCTTATTAAGTTTTGACGTTTTAAGTTGTTATTTCATTTAGTGATAATATTTTAACTGAATACATGAATGAAGTCAGTGAGAAGAAGGCTGCCTGATTGTCAGTCGTTACAGCCTATAAGAGCAGGGGGCGGATCTTGTAGTTATTTTTATAAGCACTGACCACAGCGCACTGACACGAGCCCGCAGTGTTCTCGGCTACGCGAGGGGAGTGTTGGTTAAATGGCCTCACAAAGTCACATGAAGTCCCACAGGAATTATACAGCTCCCTTTTAACTTTAGGAAGATCAACGGAAAGGTCACCATTTAAGGTAATATAATGAGTAAGAAATATTTCAGGACTTAAAACTTGAATTATTGCTTATTTTACCAAAGTCATAAATAGGCCCACTCTTTTATAGCAGCCAAGCCATACGTTTGTGATTTTGTGTGATTATTTGAATCTTCCATGACAGATGGACTGGACACTGGGTGGTGTGGACGGAGAGGAATCTCCTGTCCCAGACGACTCTACCCCTTCTGCATCTGCACAGATTCTCTCCAACAACTCAAACCTCTGTGCTCCAGAGTCCATTCAATCAAAGAAAGCAGAATGCTCTCAGCCCTCCTCTGCAGATGGACAGGTACCACCAGCTGTAATCTCCTCCTCTGACTCCAAATGTGCAAAAACTCCGACGACTCTACCAACAAAACGCTCCTTTGCTTCCGTGGCAAAGAAAGTGATTTTGCAGGAGAGATTGAGAAAAGCTGAGCAGGATGTGGATGATGACGAAGTTGGTAAGAAAGTTGACAGTATTTAACACTGAAAGTTGTTGCACATAGCAGTGCTGAGCTGCTAAGCCTTCTGCCATTCCGCTGAGCCAAAGTACTTCCGAATAGCACAGAGTAATATTCCAAAACCGTTTCCCTGTCTGTGACTGGCTCATGCAGCTTGTAACATGATGGTGTGTTTTTAGTAAACTGTAGATGAGAATGTTCAGTCATTTTCATGAGTTGCTGACTCCACCTGCAGATGAAGAACCTGAAGAAGACCTGAGTGTTGATCAGCTGGAGGAGAAGGCCAAAGGTGGTGATGCCAGGGCGCAGACACGGGTAAGAACATGTATTTGCGCACAAGTCTGCACAACTACAGTTGTTTAGTATTGTTTTGATAGTCCATGCCGACTTGAGTCCAGTGGACTATTTTTGGCCACCTGGAAGATGACCCCCTGCTTTCAAATCCAACTCAACATACTGCTTCAGAAAAATATCAACCACTGTGTACCCGGTTTGAAACATATTCCATCATTATACCTGCTCAATTGACATCCAAAATATAAACACATACTTATTGTATTACAATTTCTCCAGTACATGGTGTGAATTCTTGTACTGTTTATGTCATGAGTAAAAATACCCACAGACAGTATCTTGTTCTTAACCAATGCTGTCTGAAGCAAGAAGCGCACGTGTCCACATGATTACAACACATAAGTCATCAGTTATGTGACGTGGCCCTCAAAAACTATGCAGGAAATAATGCATGTGGTAAACAACAGAGTAACAATGAAAAGGCTGTATGTCCTTGTACCCTTCAAACTTATTAAAACGTTCTACTTCTTTTGATGACTTTGATGTGTTCTCGTATATATTTTTTTAAAGCTGGGTCAGCACTACCTTCTTCTGGCTGATGAAAAAGACACAGAACAAAACAACCTTTTAGCAGTGACCTGGTTCATCAAAGCAGCAAAACAGGGAAGAAAAGGGGCAGCCAAGATCCTACGGCGATGCTGGCTTCAGAAAAGGGGTATTTTGGATCTTTAAAACAAAATCATTTATATACTGTATTTTTGATTAATTCTTTTTTATTTTTTGTGACTGCAACTAGGTATTACTACAGAGAATGAAGCTGATATGCGCAAATTATCGACTGAGAGTAAGTTTGAACTGGCCGTACGTAAAGCGGCCATGATGATGTACTGGAAGCTCAACCCGGACCGGAAATCAAAAGTCGCTGTGTCTGAAATGCTGGAGAATGTCGGCCAGGTTAACGCAGCTCCAGGTATATAGTATATTGTTTGGAATAAAATTAAATAATACGCTTATATTATAATAAAATGTTAATTCTGAAAAGAGCATGATTTATACTCATTTGTGACTTTAGGGCTTACAGCTGCTGTGATTTCTAAAGTGTCACATTACAGACCTGCTATGTTTGGAACTCACTAGTGCTGTGCTCATTCCTCACCGGTAGGTAGCACTGCCAGCAAGAGGGACGCCCCAACCTCCAGCCAGACCCAAAAAGTACTAGAAAGCATGGTTAACAATGAGGGTAAGAATTCAAATTATAATGCTTTTTACCTAATTTTCATTATAATACTCCCTTCTTACTCTCAGCCAAACAGATGGTGGATTTAGATGACTTTGTTGAGATGACAAAAATGTATGCACAGGGAATTGTTCAGTCCACGCCTGCTAAAGATGTCGCAGACGGCTCTGGTATTCTAACCAGCAGGGATCAGGTTAAAAAACTCACTTTTGTTCATCAATGGTTGTTGTTATTTTGCTATTAGCGCAACAAATGATGTATATGTAATTACATGAAAATACAGAAAACATAATTCATATATCTAACTTAAACTCACTGACAATGCTAAGGCCAGCTTCACGCAATTCTATTTTATTCTATTTTATTATTATTTTGGCCTATTGAATAAAGATAAACATTATTCCTGGAAATGTAAAAAAATAAAAAATAAATAAACAACAACAATAAATAAGTTAATTGCATGGTTGTGATTAATTGATTCATTTGTTGCAGCCCTGAATATAATCGTCACTCAATATATAACTGTAATTCAACAGCATAAAACTGAGTCTGCCCAGCATCCAATCAGCAAAAAGCATCACAAAAGCACATGGGGCGGAATGATGCTGGAAACAAACCAGACTGTGGCCTTGAAAAGAGCTATGGATATGAAATCACGCTTGGTGGTAAGATATTGGCTTTTTCAAGTGTACTCCCAGATTTAACATTTAAATAATTAATACTAGAAATAAACTGTTCAAAGTAATAGCAATAATAAAGAAATACGGGTATATCTTAAATAAAAAATAGTCTATTTATTATATATAACTCATTAGTAATGCTCTATATTACAGATTGTATTGAGATATGGGGCAACACTTATAAAACTAATACTAAACCAATTTTCATATTGAAAAAAAAGGCAGTAAGAGCGATCACATTATCAGCCTACAACAAGGAACAAATGCACTGTTTATGAATCTACAAATATTAAGATTCTATGATAATAATGTTCAAGATAAAAAATGACCTTCTGTCTGAACCACTACAGAGGCTGTTCACAATCAGAGACAATTATGAGTTGAGAGGAACAGACATGTTTGTAAAACCAAAATATAGAACTAATGAAATGAAAAGTTGTTTATCTGTTCGAGGGGTTGGTCTCTGGAATGGATGCACAGATCAACTTAAGTCGTGCAATTCATTTTACCACTTTAAAAGGTAAAATGGTTTAACTATGATTTTGGATGGTTACCTGAACTCAGATTTTTGCTCGGATAGTTGCTCGTTTAAATGCTATTGATTACATTCACTTACACTAATGACACTTGTAAAAAGGATAGGGTAAATTAGCATTAGCTTCAGCCTACTCCTTTTCGGTCTTTCTTTCTGTATTGTCCTGACAATGTGTAAAGTGCGACCGAAATTCACTTCATTCATTCAATAAGTCCTGTACAGTTTTACACCATCCACATGCATTTAAATCTCAATTCATACCTTTTATTTATCTCAATTTATCCACATTTAATTCTCTTTGTTCGAATACTTCCTGTCTTTTTGCACGCCCTGAGTGATTCTGTCTATGCCAAATGTCACATGAACATTTTTCCATTGTGACATCAGTTAAAGTTTATCTTATCGTATCATTACACAGATGCTGCAGTACCCTTTACATGGGATTATAGAGATGAAAGAGCACCTGGTGGATTGGGCGTCCCGAGCCGGTGTCCAGTGGCTGAGCACCAGTATCCCTACACAACACGTCAATGCACTCATTTTCTTCTTCATCATAAGTAACCTCACTGTAGACCTGTTTGCCTTTGTCATCCCACTGCTGGTCTTTTACCTGTCCTTCATCGCTATGATCATCTGCACTCTGCGCGTTTTCAAGAGCAGTAAGGTATAAGACGTTTTTTCCTTATTGTCGGACAATAGCAAAACCACAATTTACATGTTTTTTTTAACTTTATTTGTTTGTGTTTCAGACCTGGGAAAATTTCAAAACCCTGACGTCTTTGCTGACACATTTTGATCCCGAGCTGGATGTGGAGCAGGCTGAGACTAACTTTGGCTGGAACAACCTGGAACAGTACATATACTTTATCATATCAGTCTTCTTTGTCATCTTCTCCTTCCCTGTTGCGGACAAAGGCTGGATCCCTTACTCTGAGCTTTCTACCGTGGCCATTTTCTTTACTGTGATAAGCTATTACAGCCTCAGTCCTGCTGCGGCGATGTATGCCCGAAAAGCAATGCTCATCGAGGTAAGAATGTCATTCTGAAACTTGCAAACATCCAAATTCAGAACAAACTCTCTCTGCAATATAGGTGGCTTCATTTTTGTGTGGCCTGACACAATTTTTACCAGAGAGAATGACTGTATTGAGATTACTGGGACACACCTTTGCCACGGTCCCATTGGGAGAGTCTGTTGTGTTGAAGCTCAGTATCCCCTGCCTGCTCTACGCCTATCTGTTCTTTCTAATATTCAGGTGAGAGAATCAATCTCAATATTCAAATTAGGTTTTTTTAATGCTTGTAACCTAACTGTAATTCTTTCATATTATTATTTTCTTTGTCGCAAATGTTGTTTAAGTAACATTGTCTCAACAAATCAGGCCGCAATTCGCTGTCTTCATCTTGTTACAAAATATTGGATATTTCAAATAATGATGATTGGCTGCGTGAAGATGGTCCACTCTTTTCCTCTTAAGATCTGATGGAAACCACATCACTTCTATCACTAGTTTTCACATGCATGTGAAAACTAGTGATAGAAACAAACCAGTTATATGGATTTTTTGTATAGTAAGTAAGTTTTTGTGATTTTAAAAGAAGGTACTCCCGCTTAAACAATTTAATATATATCACATAAATAGCATACTGAATCTTACTCATTGCTACTACCTACTTAATTATTGTAATTTTTATTATTGTAATTTAGAACCTCTTTTTCAAGGGAGTCCTGGAAAAAGAGGCAGTAACTATCGTTCAAACATCAAAACATTTTACTGTACTATTTAATGAAATTCCATCTACCAATTTGGTTGGCCACTGTCACTGTTTTGAACTGCTTTTTCAGACAGAAAAGTTTAAAACAGAATTTTCGAAAAACTTTGCAAAAAAAGAAACCATATATTATGTTTCCTACTAAGATGAATACAGGATGTTCACAATTATACTTTTGAAAAAATTGACTATGTATCATGACTTGCAGAATGGCTATGCTGCGTGGATTCCGGGGCACGTACTGCTTCCTGGTGCCGTACATGGTGTGCTTCATGTGGTGTGAGTTCTCAGTGGTGCTCCTGCAGCATTCGTCGGCCGTGGGCCTCATCCGCACATGTGTGGCTTACTTCCTCTTCCTGTTTGCCTTACCTGTTCTTGCATTTGGCCTCGCAACAATGCTTTGCATCCAACTCTTCAAGTGGTTTCTTGAGCTGGAGCTGACCAAAGTGATCGTCACCCTGATCGTGTGTGCCATCCCAGTCACTCTCCGCCTCTGGACCCGATTCAGCACCTCTATCCTGGATGTGCTCAGTTCTGTGACGCATCGAGGACCTGTTAAACTCATCCTCCTCTGCATCTCCATGGTTCTTTTGTTTTTTTCTGTTTATCTGTATTATGCTGAAGGACAGAAAGTCTACAACTCTACTCTCACTTGGCACCAGTACAGCGAGGCATGTGGGCCACCATCTTGGCAGTCGAAAGGCATGGCCCAAACTCAGATCTTCTGCAGCCATCTGTATGGACACAGAGTGACCTGGACTGGGCGCTTCAAGCATGTCCGCGTGGCGGAGACAGAGAATGGAGCACATTCTGTTATCAAGATGTTGCCTGTCTTCATGGGTGAATGGCTAACGTGCCTCTATGGAGAAACCTATCCTAAATGTGAACCAAAAAACACTACAGTGGCCAACACAACAGCAGCTGATCCTGAGGCGCTCTCTGTCCACTTACTTCTCAAAAAGCAGGAAGAAGAAGAGCTTTGTGAGATCAAAGCTTTGTCCAAACACACATGCCATGTCAAACGCTTTGACAGTTACCGCTTTGAAGTGACAGTGGGCATCATCTATGAGGGGCGACCAGAACTGGAAGATCCAGCCAGAGATATTCTTTTAATGGCCAGTCATGAGTTCAGGCAGGTTTTATTCAATTTGGAGCCTGGAAACCTGGTGGAGTTCAGTACCAAACTGGAGGGTCGTTTAGGAGCCAGAGCTCCGGCCTTTGAGCTGAAGGCAGTCCACTGTCTGGACTGCGCCTCCTCTCTGCTGACAGGAGGGCGGCAGGTGAAGATCGAGAGGAACTGGAGACGCACCACACTCAAAGCATTCAAGTTTGCCTTTGATTTCTTCTTTTCTCCCTTTCTCTCTGCAAAGATCTCTACTTAAGACACTGATACCAAGTATCCACTGTATGTTTTATCGTGAAAAGGAAATTCTATAGCCCTGAAACAACATTAGAATGCACTTACTGATTGATGTTTGCCTCCTACTGGGTAATCTTACCTATCTAAACTATACACATGTATATTTATTTGTTTTTTTGAATTGGTCAATGTGTAATGAACAGCAATAATACACCAGATTAGAGCAAATTTCCAACGTTTGTCACAGTCACAAACACTCAACACTGAATTATCGTGCCTGTGTTTAGTGGTAGGGGAAACTGGAACATTCTTTTTACGGGGAGAACATGCAAACTCCACACACAAAGGCCCCGCCTGGAGGTGGAATTGTGCCTAGGACCTTCTTTCTGTAAAGTGCTAAACACCACTATGCCGCTGTGTGAATGCAATTTATATATTTATAACAATGACTTGCAAAAGGACTAATGCAACTTAAAATGTAGCAATACGTTCATGTTTAAAACCACAAACATAAAGATTTAAAATTGTTACAAGTAACAGAGAACTGTGAAGCGAAAGCAAAAATTATATGATGCATCTCCACAGCTCTCTGGGGGGGCTCCTTAGACTTCCTGATACTGTTTAGTGACCATCACAAGAAACATAGCTCGGCTGTAATTATACTGAGAGTAAAGTGGGAACATTCAGCAGTCATTATGACATTTTCAAAAGCAATTTGGTGAACTCTGAAAAATTTTAAATATAGATTTTAAATGTATTATTATTATCATTTTGCTTTCTCTTCACAGATGTGGTCTTTCAAGAACACAAAATAAAAATGTGTGGTTCTAGCATGACAAAATGTGCAAAGGTTTGTGTACTTGTTTGAGACAATATACAATTTAAGTTAGAGGAGCTGAGGCGGCTCACAGCTGTTTGGATGGAAGACTTACGCTGATGGTATATGTCAGACACTGTTTTGTTGTTTATGTTTGCAACCATCAGATTGGTCGTGTGAAGTTAGTGAATGTTGAAGGATATTCTATGACTTATGAATTTATCTATTTTGTGTATATTTATGTATTTGATATGATTCTGATTTTATGTGAATGGTTAAAAACCGACATTAATCTACACCCGACCCCAATGCACCAGCGTTACCCTCCTTTATATTTAGGCTTTCTCTGTGCAGAGACAGTTCCTACTTTACAGAATTAGAGTAAATGAGTCAAAAACTATTGGTCATCAGCTTCACAAAAAGTCCAGCCATTCTTTTTTTTTTTTTTTTTTTTTAACTTTTTTAGAGAAACAGGCTTGGAGACGATGGAGTGTAGGGGGTTATGACATTTGCCTCAGATTGGTCTTGTTTAGGTTGTAAGTGTTGAAGGATATTTTATAAATTTGTGTCATTTTTTTATAGAATGCCTCTGATTATATGTGTGGTTCTTACATGATATCAAGCATTTGAGAGTCTTATATCATAAATTAAACGCTTTCCACCTACACATGTCTACTTCTTATTTGAAGATTAAAGAGACAAATACAGTTCTTGCATTTAGACACATCTCAAGTTTTATTAATGCACATTCCTTTCATTCACCTCTTTTGACTTAGATTTCATGTATTGTTAGATTTGTCTTTTTTACATTATGATAAATATGCGTAGCATTAAGTAATGTTAACATGCGTCTGCTGTGCACCTCTCCCTCTGTCGAGTGTGAAGGTGCTATAATGAGACCACTGAAATTACAGCTCGCTGATAGAAATCTAAGACCTGTAAATACTGACTCTGGCATTTTCTCTTTCAAAGACCTATTACTTGTGGACATGTATCTGACATTATAGACTCGACTCTAAATTCAAGCTGTATACAAATCATAAGTTAGTTTGAAAGCCAGTGATACATGAAAGACTGGTGGAACAGGAGATCACGACGGAAATCTCAGCTTTTTTAGAATTGTGTCTTGTCAGTGCAAAAACATACAGAACCAGACCACCAACCACAATCCCATTAGGGCCAAGGTCACTTAAAAGTAGAGCATTCACTGTAAACAATCTAATTTCAAGTTACATAATTTAGTCCATCACACGCACATTTCACTCTGTACATTTAGAGTGGCCCCAAGAGAAGCAGGTGGTGCTATGAGGTATATGCTACAGGGATGTGTTGACAATACACAATGCATGGAACAGTTGGACAATATGATACATGTAGAGCTATTGCACTGATGACATCTACAAATACCTCAGCCACTCCTTCCACTCCATTCCATTCACAGGCCCTTTTAATTCCTATTTTTGATTGTTAAAACCAAAATGTGCTTCTGGGTTATAAAATCCGCCTCTATCGACATTTTATGCTTAGTTGTAGTTGCCAGACAACGACATACAGACTACAACCTCAATACTGTAATCTCCAATACTGGTGGTAAATACATAGTATGCCTTTAGCACGAGTAAATTATACAATCTTATTCCTATTACAATCATAAATAGATGTCTTCCCTTGTTTTGTCTCTCTGGGACACAAAAAGACCGTGACCCTGAAACATCAAATACATAGATCAGACAATAAAAAGGGAGCGGATGTGTGTCACGAGTCCAAAGTCCTGTCTGCTGCAGGGCCATTATTGCGACATGAATAGAACAGTTATTGATTATGTCCAAGAGCGCTGCTCCCGTGTGAAGTCTTAAGCATAGTTCTTTTGCATCATATCATTGTCCTGTGTCTTTCCAACATTTAGGGCTGATAAGTGAGAGACGTCCCTGCATCTCTTTTTGAATGGCATAATCGATGACAGAAGATGATTCTGATTCATCTGATTCCTCAAGGGTGTAACAGCTAAAAAATGCTGAATTATATTACTGTATGCTCCATTATCATCACTGCAAAACTGCCTGGTGATTTAAGCTGTCCACTTCTCTTGTGGCAAAAAAATAAGCTTTCAACATAATTACTGTTTATATTATTCTGCCAATAGGGTACACTTGTATGATTTTTGATTTCTAGCAAAGAACATGTGAATTAAAGCTGGGGTACTTAACTTTCAAGTCACATAAAAAACTAGTTCCTGGCTCTCAAAACAGTTTGGTTATAGCCCTCGATTTTACATCTATACGATTTCGGCCTCTGCAACATCTTTAGATTAACTTTTTCAGACAGAAGAATGACAAAGAGAGGACCATTCTCACACAGCTATAAGTCCAAAGAGTCAAACAGTGACTCACAGGGCTTTTTCTTACAGGTAAGCTAAAGATAACATGTTTTTACAACGACGAAGATGAAGACAGCATGATGTGGGCTGATTTGATAACTGCATTGCAATAAACAGAATGTATCAATAAAAACAAATACAATCATTTAAAAAAGCGTAGATACCCCAGCTTTAATGCTTAGATGTGGTCTCAGCTGTGCAGTTCTTTGGCCCTAGGATGGTACTAGATCAACTAGAACCATTACAACACCAAGAGGAATCGGATTACTCAGATTACACAAAATCAAGTGCTTGGAGAAAGTAGTGCGCACACCTCGCTCGGCCCAGTACCATGGAGTGCACTTCTAAGCTCGTCATTGCGTTAGCGCGTCAGGGTTGACTCGGTCCTGAAAAATGTACAGGTTGTTGGTGGCTGCTATGGCGATAATGTTCTCGGCCGGATGCCATGCCATGTGGAGGATTTTCTTGGAGAAGTCCAGACTGTCCACACCCACATCTCCACGGCGACGCTTCCCTCCTGTGTACACGTGGCGGGTCCGGAGCACGGCGCGGGGCTTACTGCTCTCGCGCCAAGCCTCAAGAGTCACCCCTCGACCCGTCTCGCGGTCAAACATCCGGAAGAAGCTGTTGTAGGCTCCTGTCATGATCACGCTGATTAGAAGAAGCATGTTGTTAGTGTATTAAAGTTGGGGTACCTAACTTTAAAACCAAACTAGTTCTACCCTCTCAAAACGGTCTTAATGTCACAATAGTCTTCCCATACACACATCGTTGGTCTCTGAAGCAGCTTTAGATGAGCTTTTTCAGACAGCTTGAAGTGTCAAAAAATGACAAATGTGCTCTTTCTTAGAAGTGTGCAAAGATAAAATGTTTTCTTATAAGACACGGACAGAACATTGTGGTCTGATTTGTTCACAACAACATTTTACTTTCACAAGACGGCAAGAAGATGTAATATTATAGATGAAAAATTACCATTTTTCTTTTTCTAATTTATCCATGAAGTTGCTTTATTAGGGATTTGTATTCTCCTGAAACTAAGCCCTTTTACACATTGATTGAGTTATTGATTGTGCAGTGACACACAGGAACAAATAAACAGCACTTTAAATGGACCATAGCCTCTATTTTTCTAGCACTAAGTTCTACTTGTAGGCTTTTTATTTAAAGCTAAAAATGGGAATTAATACTGAAATAATAACGGTTTTTCTTTGACCTCAAAACGGAATTTACAACTGTGGTTATTTATATTCTTACCTGTCTGAGCTGTTCCAGACGCACTCAAACTTGTCAAAGATACAATCATTTTCGTAAAGAGAGCACAGCTTACTTCTCAGATATTCATGGACCTAGAAAACAATAATTGAAGAGAATACTGCATTATTGGAAAATCCTAGTTCTCATCGCACTGAAACATCATGTACAATGTGACATCAAACGGTTTTAGTACGAAGGCCACTTTTGTTAGCCCTTCCTGTCCTGGGGCCGGATTTCAAAATGATTTTACTGGATTCTGAGCTTTAAGAATGACATTTGATGGATCTGAAGTTGACATTAGCACCATTTAAGACCTTTTGTGCCAAGATAAAAACAAAATGTTTGCTAAATGTATTTTATGCGTGTTTTATGAATGATCCTGAATTGTGCCATGTTGAAAGCCAAATCTCTGCTCAATTTGAACAGACAATAAAGATCTATTCTATTCTATATTGGTTATAGTCAGACAAATTCAATGACCGGATGAAAGACATCTTTACGAGGTACACACTGTGAACTTATGTTTATGATCTCCATGGCTACTTTGGCCAATTTACACTGAAGACTGAATAACCTACATCCAAACATATTTTAGGAAAACTTTGACTCCATTCAGAGAAAACCGGGCTATACCTCAGAATTTCTAACTCAGGGAGACGATGCTACTTCACCTGGTAAGTCTCCACTGGGCCCTTGTCCATGTGAAGGTCCCACACCTTAGCGGTGAGGTAGTCTCTGGTGAGCATGTACCGCCCACTGTGGCTGAACTTCACATCCGACACAGAGGAAATAATCTCTGAGAAGAAGGACCGGCTTCCTGGATCCTCGGGCTCCTCATAAACTAAACAAAAGCAAAAGGCACATTCTAGATGCAGCAGAGACTGAATATCCAAAGAAAGTCCTGGCCATTTAATATTGGAAATGAAAAGAGACTAGTTAAAAACAGTGGAACAGTGAACAGAACAGTCAACAATAAAGGTCCAAAACCCAAAGTCCTTTCGTCATTAAAAAAAATATATATATAATAATAATAATAATAACAAATTTGTGTTTTCTTTGGTTTTATCTTATCTTATCTTAACAATAATAATAATAATAATAATAGTAAAAAAGGTAATAATCGTAATACATCGTAAATACATGGGGCTTTTTTTTTAAAAACACTTTATAAAAAGACAATAAATAATTCAAGAGCTAATATAAACAGTAAAGTGTAGGCAGTTTTGAACAGGTGGCTTTTGAGCAGTGACTTGAAGCTCTGAAGTGAGTCCGAGTTCCTGATGTGTTTTGGGAGTGATTTATAGAAAAATGGGCGTCAGAAGCCTACACATTTTGCCACTGTAGGCCTTCTTTGGGACTTCAGGGCATGATTCCACTCTTGTAAGTCAGTCTCTTATAATTCTCATTGTTACATGACCTAATTCTTGAAGTGCACCATGCGTTTTACGTGTTTTCTATTCCGATATCTTTCCATTTTTCATTCTTAACTTCACGGTCGGTGTATGAAAACTTTTGCCTGATCCGGCTCTGATGTGTCTTACGTTTGGCATGCTTGTCACACAGTGCTGAGGCCCTCATGTCGCAGAGCCGGAGCGTCCCCTTACTGCTGCTGTACACAAACAGGTGGCAGTGGTGTGGATGGAACTCCGCCGACGTTATCACCTCCGTCAGGTCCTCCATGTTGGCTGGTTTAATATCAACAATATCTGAGATGCACTGTAAAGGCATTATAACAGTAACAGTCGTTTGGCTGAAATACGCTTCTTTCTTAATGACAATACGACACCCAGAACCAACTTTACCAGCAGCCTCAAGACACACCTCTTTGGTAGTAATTATTGTGTGTGTATTTTATTTTACACTGCTATAGTCACTTTTAATGTTATTGTACGTAATATATCTTGCACAAAAGAGACTATATTTTAACCTTTTTAACATGCGCACAACCTGAGTGAATCTATCTTTGCCAAATGTGACATGTATATTATATTTATCTCTCTGCATTTTACCTAACCCTACTACTTTTATATATACACTGTTGTATTTTGTAATGTGCTATACTTTTACACATTCAATAACTAACTTTCATTGCTTTAGTATCCCCAGTGTTTCCTCTGGAGGAGCCCTCTGCACTGGGAGCGGTGGTCGGCTGTGACCTGGTTGAGGTTTCTCTAAAAAGAAATGTCATAATATGTATCTCTAAGCATGTTTCATACAAATAATGCTTAGTGATTGGATGATTGAAATTCAAAACAATGAACATCCCAACCAGCCTCTTAAACTCGCAGTGCAGCCACTTGACTGTTCTATTTCTGGCAGCCCTGTGTGGTGAGAAGAAAGTGTACTGCCGGGTGAATTATTTAAACTCAGCCATGAATGCATCTCTGATTTTCTAGGTCAGCCTCTTTTTAAATGGGAATCAACCACAAGGACCGTAGCCGACACACTACTGTCTCTCAACATGGTATATACTTGAATCCGACGCAATCCTCACTGTCGTCATATTGAAAATGAATAAATAAAACACAGGGAAAGCATCCAAGGCAGCTACATGAAAGGAGAAATGTAGTGTATCTTCCAGCTGTGTATTTGTGTACTCAATGTTGGTACATGGTGCAAGGTGCATTGATACATTTTGGGTACGTTTTCTCAAAAGCTTTGAACCACATAATTAGATTCATACAGTTAACTCTGCATCCCTGTTTGTTTATATTTGTAGATGTACTTAAACTTAAACTTTTTTTCTAATCCCAAACTTTATGAATGAACTGAATGTCAGAAAAGGATACTGAAGCTACGATCTGTGATGCCCAAGTGCCACATGTTGATGCGCAGGTCATCAGCAGAGAGGTACGTCTCCCCATCACTGTTGACGGATATAGAGTTGACATGATATGTGTGTCCATTAGAAAACACTCGTCTGGGCCGCACTTCCACCATCAGATCTGTGGGTTTCAAGACTGGCACCTGTAAATTGTACAAAAACGATATATTTATATTTGTAAAGTCACAAAAGCAACATATACTCTGTACTTTGGTATTGCTGTGCATGTACCTGCAGAGAAGTGATGGTGGAGACGTCCTTGATCCTTCCTTCTTCATCTTTCAGGTTGTAACCTTCGGGTCTCTTGTCGCGCTCGCTCACCTTCCACAGTTTGATGGTCTTGTCTAGTGCATAACATTGTATAGAAGATATTATCACATGCGATCAAATAAATGGAGAGAACAATTAATATGTGCTGCTACTTAAGCTCTGTGGGTACAAGTATGAATACATTATAGAATAGTGTGTGCTGGGATTACACTGCAGTTCATAAGCACACAAATGTCAATCTATACTAAATCATTCATTACATAACTCCTAACGTCTTGCTATCCTTGCATCTAATATATTTAGGTGCGTGCATGTCATTACTGGACTATTCCGTGACAAATATGTTTTTACCATTGGTGGAAAGAAGAAAGTGTGCTGCATTTTGCTGTGGCAACCATCGTATCTTGTTAATCTTCTCTTCGATTTCCAGACTTTTCAGATAGTCAAAGTCTGGCTCGTGGCTCTGAAAGGTGCTATACACATTGTACTCCCCAGAGTCGCCTGTGTCTCCAACCTCCTCTGACTCCCCCTTCGACTGCTCAACACAAGAAACAAAAAACAAAAGTGTGTTTGGTGACGCTTTTTCTGAGGCCAATTATGATATAGTTCAAGAAGAAAACACACCTCAGTCTCTCTCTGGAAGATGACCACACGGCCACCTTTGTCGCCTGTGGCCAGCAGGTCCCCCGTCTGGTTAAACTCCACAGTAGAGATGACATCAGCTGGAGGAGGACAGGAATATCAGAGGCAATTTTACTTTACTTCTTATCATAACTATATTATTATTTGATATCATATTAAACTGTGCATTGAATGGGATAATACAGTACAAAGAAAGGACAGGGCAATGGAAAATATGGAGTAAAAATATGAAAAGATAGTTGCATAGAACTTAAAAAAAGAAACAACTTGATTTTGTCTGATACACTGTATGCCCACTTATTATCATACAAAGAAAACAAATGGCTTGACTACAAACTTTCTTATAGAACTTCAGTACTTTTTTATACTGGGCTACTATCAAAAATGTTACAATAAGGATGATGCACAATCATTCATGAAATTGCCAAATCGTTATCTTACAATAGAGTCAATGAAAGTCGATGAACTTTACTTTTAGTAGAATGATAATTATATATTCAGCTGTCTATGCAGAACGGTCCCATGAATGCATCTAGATACTGGACACCATTGACCCTTTGACACAGTGATCGTGCTGTACCTTCAGTGACATAGTCTCGTAGGAAGGTGTGGTTGATTTTTGTGCTCTCAGTGTCCTCTCCCATCTGAAGCTGGGGTAGGCTGACCTGCCAGCACGCCCGGCCTGAAGGGAAGGCTCCAATCCGTAGTTTCACTTCCCACCAAGGCTTCGCCCATACTGCTGGGGCCTAACGGAGCCGCCGCGAACAAAGCATGCTGGGTAAAATTGTATCCAGCAGAAGAGAAGGTGTAGAGTATAAGGTAGGAAGGCTGTCTGTGAAGGGAAGAAGAACAGATGTTGGTAAAAATACCACCATACCTACCAGCTGGGTACATATATTTTTTCATCATAAATAATGTTGTTTGCTCCAAAAGAAAGTGATTTAACAAATTGTCTTTATCTTGAAATAGAAAACACTTGTGAGTCACATTTTTACAGACCAAAATAACAATATAATATTGTTTTGTGAGAGTTATGTGGATTTTATGACATAGTTCCATTGTTGTAGTTTGAAAGGGAGGTTGCCCAGCTCATAAACATTAATTTGACTACTGAATTTGTGTATTTTGTTTTAGCATAATGTTAGAAATTAATTGTGATATATGGCATTTCAAAACGTAGCTCACAATGTCAGATAAAACTCAAATAAGTTGTATCATCAACAGATCTTGTACAGGGTCTTGTCCAGCTCTACTGTGCCTAATGTATTACATTTGTATTGACAAATTATCAGTGGATGAATCATAGAGTGACAGCAAGTAACACATAGTGATGATAAGTCATGTTGACTGGGCCTGAGGCGAAACGTATGTATACAATATAACATATATCATATCTACATGTCTCTATCGCTCATGCCGGTAGTAAATTTGGCCAGGGTGTGGTGATCATGTGAGCAGAATGTACAGACACACTGCCCTTGGTCTTCATCACACTAATATCAAATACATAAACAGCAAAGTCAGTGATGGTAAATAATATGTGCAGAGGAAAAGGTAATTGAGACGGGTCTGAGAGCACACCTACCAGTAGGCCTGATGCTGCTGCTGCTGCTGTTCGTCCTCTGCTGCAGTGCCAGAGCAGGCCTGAGAGACTTTCCCCGTCGCCAGAGATTAAACAAACAGAAGAAATTTAGAAAATGTAAGGATGGTGGCGAGAGATGGGGAGGCTGAAGGATGAGAGAGAGAAAAGAGAGAAGGAGAGGGACAAAAAGGGAGGATGGAGGTGCTGATGCTGTGGAACTGCTTCTGTGCAGCATCCAGTGTGTCATGGCAGCCTCCTCTCCCATCAGCCAATAGGAGCAGAGCTGTCATTGGCGCACACTCCCACTGCAGGTGATGGAGCAGCAACAGCCACCAGAGGGCGCTTTTGATTATTTTATGTGATGCAGAGACATAGAATTATAATAATAAAATCCATGTACAGGTGGGGGGCGAAGTACAGCATGCGTGAATTTTAGAAACAATTAATAATAACACAAACTTTGATAATAGTGGGACTGCTTTTGTGTATACCCTACATGGAAAATACTATAAAAATAATTAAACATGCCTTCCCTCGGCCATATGTCCCCTCATCCCTCTTTTTTTATAACCGAAATTAGGCCCTCTGATTTCACATGTCCCTTATCGTCAGATGTTATCCCTTAACTACTAAACCCGTAACCCTAACCTTAAATCGTATCTTACAAATGAGGGAACATACAGTACTTACCGAAAGGGAGCATTAGGCAACTGTCTCTACATAGGTTAAAAAACAAACTAATTTCTCATTCAGCAAAGTTCCGTGACATTTTCCTCTTCTTATTCCTTAGTTGATTGTCTACATGTCTTTAAACAGACATCATCAGGCAAGAGTCCACGTGGAGTCCCTGAGCCCCAGCAATGGTCCCAGCCCAGAGAGATTTGTTCATTCATGGGCATTTGTCATCTGCCCCTTACAGTTCAATCACACAATCATACAATGATGAAAAAAATCCTTATTGCTTGAGCCGATATATGTGGGTGAATCAATCATAGACTGTATATATTAATCAATATAACTTTGCAAAGTTCGATTCTTATAATTGAATTGATCCCTGTGCATAAGCCAAAGTTATTATTGAAACTTAAAAAAAATGTTGCGCATTTGGAATCTTCGTCCTTGTCTATATTTTTTTAATCGAGTTTGATCAAGGTTTTGTTATACTCGTTTTGTGATGCAATGTGCTCTGCTGGTCAGTAGATGGCAGCAGTGCACATCGGGAGATTGTTTCTACTTGAGCGTTGAAGAGGAAGCGCGCGACACCCGGAGGAAAACATGGCCGCGCGCGTGAAGAGAACATCCAAACCCATTCAGGTAACATCACGGATCACTGGCAATAACACCAAACCCGACACTTCTGCGAGCTTTTGGGTTCTCACTTTAATGCTGTCCATTATAAGAGGACGTCTTAAGCGTATTTGCATTGACAGTCACTGTAATTAGCGCTGCGGACACACGTTTTGGGTAAAAGCCATGCCACAGGCTTTGTCATGTTCTTTGCATAATACATCCAATGAACATAAACATGCATTATTCGTTATAGACAGGATACTTAATGCGACCTATTTGGCATTCTATCTTGTGTTTTGCAGGAGTGTGTTGACAATGGGAACGTGAAGAAAGCCCGCACTAATGAACTTAAGGACATCCCTACATCTGGAATAAGCTCCCAGCAACGTGATGAAATGAAAGAACTTTACAGCCTTGAAATGCCAGAGGATTTGTACCACTTTTGGGATTTCTGCAAGGAACTATGTCCAGACGACCCCCGTGGTAAATGGCAAACAAGTGGAATACGTCACATGTCTCACTGCATCACTGCCCATATATGTTTGTCATAATGAGTTTTCTGATTCTGCTGCAGCCTTTGATGTAAATATTTATTATTTCAGCAAAGGTCAGACTATTATTTCTATTTACATTGCTTTCAGAATTTATTAAATGCCATTTATTATAAACCCATTATAGAAGGGTTAATCAAAATCAATATTGCAGTTTCAGCAACTGCATTTATTAATTTCATATTTATTCATTCTTCCAATACATTATGTTGTTGCATATAATTCATGCCATTCCTGTGTGTTTAGAGCTCCAAAAACAGGGTTAAACATGCTAGGATAACTAAGATTTTTTTTGTTTTTTTATTTATTTAATTGATAGGGGCAAATGTACATTTGTGGTCACAACATGTATAAACAAGGCTAATGTCTGTCCCTAGAACCGAATCAAAACGAACATCAGCACATTCAATGTTATTTAATTAGTTTCAGAATTCCTCTGTATTTCAAGGGAGAAATTGCTTTTGATTATAACAGTGAACCTGTTATTCATGTTTTCCTCAATTATGATTTCTGCATATACAGATTTGAATTGCACCCTGTGCCATCAAAACAGAAATGGGAGCATTATAAAATCACAATTACCGGTAGATATCATTTTGATATCATTCAGCCCAAGTTGATAATCTATATAGTCCATGATTTATGGTTATTTTTTGTCTACTAATCATTACAGTCGGAGCTATATACTTGGAAATATTTTCACAGCCAACCAGACATTTAACTTTATTTTCTTTCATTTTTCTCTTTTTCCTAACAAATCACATGTGCCAAAGATGTATTTATGTTCTATCCACAGGTGCGTTCATGGACACGCTCGGCCTACAGCTGGTCGGCCCTTTTGATGTTCTGGCTGGAGCTCACAAAAAACTGAAGACCAAACCAAACCTAAATCTTCATTGGAGATACTTCTACGATCCACCAGAGTTTCAGACAATAATTCGCAGTGAGGGCAACCAACTTCACTTTGGCTATTACAGGTAATGGCTGAACCCTCTCCGTAATGGGACAGATTTGAATGTCAGATTTAATGCGCCATATCCTCTGCAGAGACACCCCAGATTTACTTCCTTCATTTGTGGGAGAGAATGATGCCAAGAAGGGCTGCTCCATAACACAAATGGGAGAGAATGTGTTTGCCGCTGTATAGTGAGTGCACTTTAAAATAATCTATTAATTGTTTGATGCGTGCTGTCTTTGTTTCCCCACTGCACACTATTTGTACTTGCAGTGCTGTAACTTTTGTGCATGTTTGCTCTTGTCAGTTTGTATCTTCAGAGGAAACGAAAAGAAAAAGCAAGTCTAAAGACAGATTTGGAAAGTCTAGTGGAAAAGCTACGAAACAAAGCTGGGGTCCTGGGATTGCCGCTCGAGCAAAAAACTAAAGATATGAAGCAAAGAGATAAGAAGGTACACAAAAACATGTATCCACAACAAACTACACATAGTTACATTGATGGATATGATTCAGCTTTTTCATGTCCATTAGATGCTTATTATGATATTTTTTAGGAATATGAAATGATATCAGATTGAATGAATGAATGAATGAAATGTTTTTATTTCGAGTTCAATATACATAACTGAGATTTACAATACACATTTATTTTAAATAACTAAGTATCAACTCGAAAAAGGAGTGAGAAGAAGTAAAACTTATATACTCCCACCCCTGTAGGCTATATCTCGTAGTCATCAGTAGATTTTTCTGCTTTTTGCAAATTAGCAAACATACTTCACCTTAACCTATGCTAGAAGATACAAATAATAATAATAATAAAATAAATAATGATACATTTATAGTCTCTCTATCTATACATATATATCAAAAATACACATATATACACTATACATACACATACACAGATACATACATATACATGTCTACGCATATAAACATATATTAACACATTTACACAGCATATACACTATAGGCATATGAACACATCTACAAGTTTTTTTATGTTTTAATTATCTAAATATATAGTTTTTATTTTTATTTTTTATTTTTCTATATATTATTTGCCCTTTTTAATATATTCCTGACATTGTGGTTTCCCGGTATATGATTATATTTCCTAAAGTAGGTAAAGTTATTGCCCTCTCTAAGAATATCGAGCCAAAATGGTTTCTTTGTATTCCTTTTTAAATTTTCTCATGTCTGGACATCCCTTCAGCTTCTCACTCATGGCGTTCCAGAGCCTCACCCCACAGATAGACACACCAAAACTCTTTCTAGTTGTAAGTGCTCTCGCAGGCTTGAATTTAAATTTACCTTTTAAGTTATAGACACCATCTCTGGATACAAACATTTTTTGAATTTGATTAGGTAATTTGTTATAATTTGCTTTGTACATTATTAATACTGTTAGATAATTAACCCCCAATCATCGCTAACTCATGACATAATGGGTCCAATTGTATTTTTATATTTTAATGGTTTAAATTGACACAAGAACAATTATGATTCTATTGGTTAATATCAGCCTGTAAATGTTACTTTAGTTGAAAAGTTCAAAAACATATAGTATTGTCCAATATCTGTTACAACAATTTTCTGGTTATCTTTTTTATACACAATGCCTTTTCTTACAAATGGAATATGAGACATTTATAATTAAACTCAATTGTTTTGTAGGTGGTCACTAAAACATTCCACGGTGCTGGCATTGTTGTACCGATTGATAAGAATGATGTTGGATACAGAGAATTGCCGGAAACCGATGGTAAGGTTTTATGAGTAACTGTTTCACCAGAGTTTTACTGTGTTCATGAATTCATTGTCTGTGTATTTTGTGGATCAGCTGGGCTCAAAAAGATCTGCAAAGCCATTGCCGAAGCACAAACTGATGAAGAGCGAATTAAAGCTTTTGGGCCTATACAAGAGATGATCACTTTTGTACAATTTGCCAATGATGAGTGTGACTATGGCATGGGTTATGAACTGGGAATGGACCTCTTCTGTTACGGATCCCATGTAAGTACTATATTCAAGAAAGAGTATTGTTTAATAGATATGTAACTTGTTTATTTCCTCCCACTAGTATTTCCATAAAATGATCAAGCAGCTTCTCCCGATGGCCTACAACTTACTGAAGAGAAGTCTTTTTGGAGAGATTGTTGAGGCCCATCTGTCAAATCGCAGTCGCGATCCCGTGGACCAACTGTCTCCGTAAAACAGCTATATATGAATGTACAGTTCTCTCCTCCATATCGCTGTGTTGTACTCTGTGGTGGCATTCAAGTTAATAACCATTTCAGTGATGTGTCCATAGTGTGTGGAACTTATCAAATTCTAAATAAAGATTTTATATTTTTACATGTGCCCTTTATTCAAATTAAATATTATCTATTGGCATCATAACATCAACAGTTTTATTTTATGTTATGTTATTTTTTCTTGTACAATTGTTTGTACAATAACATGGATAGTTTTTTTTCTGATTGCGCTGTAGTACAATATTTGAAACTATATTGTATCCAGGCCTGAGATGGTTTTTTTCTAGCTGGTGAAGATGACTATAAATAATTTAAAAGCGGCATAATATGGCTTCTATCCAGTTTATATGTGTTGATTTTTTTTGTATTTATTTATATTGCGTTTGGTATATTGAACTAGTTTAGGAATCTATTAATTAGCAGGGGTTGTGTGTAAATTAGCCTATATTGTTGTAAAGCATGATTCCTGTGCCTGCTCGTTGGGTGGTAGGTGGAAGTCTTCAGTGTCTGCTGTTTCCTACTGCTCTTGAAGGCGGCAGAGATCCTGCGGAGTTTCGGGGAAGCGCATCTGCGGCGCGTTCACGCACGCACGCACGCAGGCTCCAGCAGCCCCTTCTGGAGCATCCCTACACACACACCCACACACACACTGATACGTCCTGTTTACAGCTGAGGAGCCTGAGATCACTGCACACGATGCTCCCTGCGTGATTGCAAGGCCCGGACAGAACGCACTCCCCCCGGCTAAAGGACCTCCGTGACCGCGGCTGCAGCTGCACACCGCCGCCGTCATCATGTCCAGTAGATCCGAAGAAAGTCTGTTCAGGGGCGGCGGCTCCGACCGGGACTTGAAGATGGCTTCTTCCAGCAACACTTCTCCGGAGGGTGGGCCCCCCGCTCCCTTTCACCATGGCCGGATTCGGCAGGTGGGTGCCCGCAGTCCTCTCCGCAGTGAGGTCCAGTCAGCCGTGTGTAGAGCATCACACTGTCACGGTGTAATTAGCTCGTATGGTTTATTTTTCTCCATAGCACAAACAGCTAGCTATGTAAAGAACATGTTTTCATACAGAGTGGCAGCAGCGACAGAAAGAAGCTTGATCTCCCACTACATAAATAAAGCTGTCCATTAACTGCAGTGGCCTCTCATAAGTCACACATTCCTAAAATATGTTAAACTGTCTGGTCTCAATAGATGTTTGTTGTTCAGCTTGTTTATCTTGGTGAGGTGGATGATATACGTCATTGTTATGCAGTTGTGGATAAGTTTAGCAGGTGTATATGAGAAGTCTGCATGTTTAAGTTCAGTACATTCCTGACACTTGGATTGAATGTGGCAATAACAGTGTAATATGTATTTAATATAGTTCTGACACATCACTGGTCTAATATCTCATGTAAATGTTGATGGTGTAAATGCTGACTCAACTCTAGTGCTACAGAATATACTTATGAAACATGATCCGGATGGGCATGGGAAGTCTAATGAGCTTGTGTTGGGGGTATTTGGTGGAGGCAGGAGATGGGAGATGCTGGATTGTTTCCTGATGGTGCTCTTTCTCTCTCAGGCTAATGTGATTTCAGTAATGGAGTCCAGCGCCATACACACACACACACACACACACATACAGAGCAGCCAGAAATCCTAAAAAGGCGTACACTTTGCCTTTGGGTGGGGCTTTTATTCCATCTTTCCAGTTAAAATACTTTATTACCTTGAGTTTGAAGATCTAAACTAGTGAAAACCAGCACTTATCAGACTTATAACAAATGGAACCTTGCCTTTAATGTAAGACAAGCTGTAGTAATTAAGTTTGTCACTTTCCTGGAACAATTTTTTAATTATTAAATTGTTAAACTGTAAATTTGGCTAATTCAAAGGTGGCTGTGCAGCACTGTTTCTTTTGTGAATTTTGCAGTAAAAATATATCCAGCTGTGTTAGGTGTTGGTTTAAGCTCAATGGACCTGTAGTGTTGTTGTTGTCGGGCAAATGAGACAATACAGCTATAGTCTGGCCACCGCAGAACCTTTCACCATCCATTACCTGACTGCTAAAAATAACATTATAACCTCCATTTTTGAGGGTGAGGGATAAATATACTGTAACTTATGAATACAACAGGCCCATCATATTCTTTATGATTCATTCATAACATATGCAGCGCCAGCATGTAAAGGAGGTACATCAAGAATGACAAAGCTGGGATATACCTTGGCATAAATTATACATTGTTTTTTGTTGTTTGCCCCAACAGAAATAATCTAAAAGTAACTAATCAGAACACAATGTGGAGTCTTTATTTATTCATCCCACAGTGGGGAAATTTGAGATATATTTAATTAAAATACTTGTAAACTTGCACAGTTGTATGAAAGAACCCCGTGAGTCACTATTTGATGCTTTTGGCTAAAAGGTGATGGTACAAGAACAGAAAACACATTGGTAATGGTCCATAAGGGCAGATGACCAATGTTCATAAGTGTTGAATGTTGAGTGTCCTGGATCATCCCCACTGTCCTTTTAGTTAGACCTGACTAACAGACCCTCCTGCCTTGGCAAGTAAAACACTTTAAAGTAGTTGATGGCTTTTGCTGCATTGTTACATGTATTTGTCATTTTAAAGTCATGTACCCCAACCAAAAATACATTTGAAAAAGTATTACTAGTTTCATGGTGTAAAATCCATTGGTATTTTGAATCCATTGGGAATGAGTGGGGTGATCTTTACCACATCAGCATCAAACCAGGCAATGTAAGAAATGCTGACGATTGTGAAACTGAGTGTACTTCAATTTCCTACTTATAAGGTGCAGTAGTAAATTTAGTGAAAATGAATTGAAACACTGCCAGATAATCCAAGAGCAATATATGTGGTTGAGGTCTGATCCCTCTTTAGTGACTGAACCTTCACCAGATTTCTGAAACTAAAAGCCTTCTATGGACAGAGGCAGAGACAATATCTGGTATCTGGTCTGCTCAATGCAACCATTAACCAAAACCAGAATCAAGTTCAGAATTCTTTTATTGCCATGTGAGTAACAAGAAGTCACACACTAGGATATTGCGTTGCCTCTCGGTGCGAACAAGTTAGAGTAGAGAATAGAATCAGGCATGCATAAATAACAATCTACGTACATTTCTGTCCATATTGATTAAATAAATGCATAAAAAAATACCCAAAAATCCTCCACATCTGGCCAGGTCACTCTGAACCTTTGACATCTCCATCTGCTCTCTCTCTTTTCTATCTGCTGGTGTCCTCTGGGAGCTCGATGATGGGATTCTGCAGCAGGGCCGCCTTAACGAAGCCTTCATTACATTAGCTCTTAAGACCGGCTCCAGCCACATGCAGCTACTTACACATGAGATATATCTACTGGAGAGAGCAGACATGTGTGTGTTCTGCAAGGGCCTCTCTGTGGTTGTGTGGGGCATAACTTTCCCCACTGCTGTATTTACTAGAGCTGTTTAAAGGCAGGGATGCTCGTCAATATTTTGTTGTTTGGTCAATTGATTGATTAAGGGTTTCTTAGTTTACCACAGTTTTATGACTGCAACAAAAATTGTGGTAAACTGACTCCTAGGTGTGTTATTTGAATATGAAAATGGCAACATTTGATGATAGGAGATGGCTGAAGATGTATTAATTTGATATGCGATATTTCATCAATATTTGTTATATTAATCACAAAATATAACTGTGATTTCCTAAATATTTTTGACAATAGGTTTGATAATAGTTTTTAAGTCTATTTAAGTTTAGGTCAGATACATAATGATTTATTAAGAATTTGATACGCCCTTTTTAGTCAAATAATCAATCGCATGTCTTCAGATGTATAGTTGAGTTCTGCTTTGGCTGTCTTTATACATGGTGAACATCCTTCATTACGGATGGCCTCTGGTTATTGTAATTACGCTGTTATAAATGGTGTAATATTGGGTTCTTTATATTTGAGAGAAATGATAATACATTTGAGTACAGACTGGGAAGACTCCTTTTTGTGAAGCTTAAAAGGACATATTACTCAATGATAAAAATATGGCGACATAAGGATGTTGTTCACTGTCTCATACAAGATTCAATTATTACATTGATCACTTTTAATTGATTTGTTGTAATGTTTTTGTCACAAATCCAATGCTAGTATCTTGTTTGTGTGTTGATGTTTTCCTTGTAAGTGCTTTTGAAACGTGTGGTCCCCCTGTTCATATGGAGTCTATATTTGACAGCACCCATAGGGGTTCAAGTTTCATCTGACACCTCTCATTGTGCAAGAGCAGGGAGTGAAAATCAGCCCCTTTTAATACTGCCAAGTTCTCCAAGAAGGGGCTAAACCAGTGGTTCGTTTGGCGAGACACTAAGCACCACTCACTTAGCCAAGTAATTACACAATTTACAACCATTTAAAGTAGGGATGGACAGCAATTTTACAATGGATTGGACAGCAATGGATGCCGTGTTTTTTGTTATTAGTCTCTATGGCAAAAAGATTATAGTGGTAACAAAACATTGTATTCTGAGTCAATTGTATTGTTTTAGTTGTTATTATTGTATGATATTTAGGACTTAAATGGTAAATGTATAATTATGATAAAGGAAGTTCAATGGATGCATATGCTTCGTCATGTTTTGTAGAGAGCAGGTGTTTTGAAATCAATGTTAAAAGCATCTTAATAATTCATTGCAGCCTTATGACTACTGTATTTCCCGTAATCAGCCTGAGCGAGGGAGAGGGTGGTGGGTGTGGCCTGTGATCAATAGACTTCTCAGAAACACCCCTTCTTTCTTACATGTGGTTCTCTGTCTGGATTTGCTCTGCTCCTCTCTCCCCTCTTTTGGGCTGGGACTAGAGCTCTTGGTGGAGGGGGACCACCATTTTTGTCCTATTATTGAGCTCAGACTTCAAATTTTGCTGAACTTATTAAATAAATTGCACATATTTAAGCCAAGCATTGTGAGAGACGAATAAATGTGAATAAATCTGAAGCACAGCCCTTGCAAGTAGACAAATGCAGCAAAAAAATTGTCTAGATAAATTGCAAATCTTGTATTAAAATGCATTGAGATTACCGGTGCAGTGCCTCTGTCTCTTTGGTCGTATCTCATTTATTGCAGACTGACGTCATATTGACTGTATGCTCAGGGGACCTGGCTGTACTTCAAACAGAATAAGTGAATGCTATAAATTACTTTGGTGCTAGTGCTGTTTCCAAAGCTCTGTGCAGGGCCAATCCAGTCCAAGGAAGGTGATGTAGGCTAGTTTACATACATCGTACAGAATGCATAGTGTACACCTGGAATGATGAGCTGTACACAAGCTATTTATAAAAAACAGATGCAGTCTTTACCTACCAGAACAAATGCTATAAATAAGGAGAAAATGTTCTATATTTTTTCTTTCAAACCTATACTGCTGTAACTTCCCTCAATAAACATGTGACATCATAAGCCCCTTGATTCATAGCTGTCTTTACGTGTTAGTCGCAGTACGGCAGCAGCAAGACTTATATTTACTGCTCTCCATGCCAGTTCCTCGTACATTTTCACCGTCGCAAATTTGATGTTTGCTTTTGAGCATTGTGTGAGCTTGGGTGTGGCCGTCTCTGTTTTCTGCCTCTCTGGCCTCACCCTGGACTGGCTCTCTCAAGGGTATATGTGCTCTGCACTATCCCGCCTCCACCCTTTGATCTTAGTTTTTATGAATTCATAGCCAAACCATTTGTTGTTAAGTATGATCTAATTTCATTTGATTGTAAACAAATGTCTAAGGGCTGCGAGGCAGACAGTCGAAATGCAATGATCTGTACCCTGACCTTTCCAAACCCGCAATAAACCAACCAAGCATGACAACATTGTACTGTCTTTTTCCACACTGTCTGCACACAAGGGCTGCAGCTTTCCATTGTTTTAGTTATTATTCTAT